ATTCATTCCTTAAATGAGAACTTTGAGACAAAAGCAGAAATTTTCATAACTTATTGAAATAATAAAATAAAAATACTGGCCCAACATGCCAACATATAAACATCATTTCTATCACAGATATTTGAAATAACAATAAGTACATACATAATACTGACAACTATCTATATATCTATATCTATAATATACTATATACATATTTTACATAGGCCTTTTTAAATTTTGACATGTTTAATGCTAAACTGCTTGCTGAAATTTCTTTGTAAGCACTTCATTCAGCTGTTCTACCATTCATTTTGAGATTCTACTGAAAATAGTGGTTTCCACTTGCGAAACAGAAGTATATGGCAAACACAAAGCATTTAAGTCACTTAGTGAAAAGTCAATTTTCATTCCAGCAAACCATAACAGCCTGTTGTTCTAAAGTTTTTAAGTTCAAGACATGCTGGCACTAATATATAACACCTAGCAGAAATCAAACACGAAACATGTAATAAAATATGTGTGCTGATAGACACGAATACTATGCATAAAGCATTTCAAACATGCTATTACAGGTAATGTAGTCTGTTTTATTCATTTGATTAAAAAGTAACACAAGAGTTTTCCTTTACTAATTTTCTGTGGTGCCCTTACGTGCATTAAAATTATGGTGTACTAGCCCACAGAAAAAACATGAAACAAATATTTCATCAGATATTTCATGTTTCATGGTGTGACAACTGCTTGCTTAAATGCACAAATTCTCTAAAACTAAAGTAAATAAGTCAGATGTGAAATATATAAGCTACCCATGTGACTAAATTGGATATTACTTAAGAAAGTGATCTAAAATCAGTAATTATTAGACCTAAAATAAATTGTATATTCTATTTTACAAGTATGCTAAAAAATAAACAATAGTATCTGTAGCATTTGGCACAAATAATTAATACTTGATAATAACTAGAGAAAATAATAATAAATACTAAAATAAATACAAACTAAATCATAAATAAATACAAATTGTTATATACAATTACAACAACTAAGACTTAAGCACTTGACAAAGTTAAAATAGATCTTTGGTTATCATCAACCGAAAAAGAAAGAATAAGTTACCTTTAAAAACTAAAGCTGAATAAATTATTGAAATAGAATTCTTAAAATATCTTAAAGTAAATAGCAAGTTACATAAGTAAAAACCAATGAGATCATGTATACAGTGGATGGAATAAAGGTTGCACTCGATTGGTGAGTTCGGAACATGTTCAAATTCTAGCCTCAAATGAACGTACGGAAGCAAGTTGTCACATTCAAACTTTTTCCATTTATTTCTTTCTCTGCCATTTTAAATTCTGTCTAAACCTACTATTTTTTAGAAAAACATGGCACAAGTGCTGAAATCTGAACATCGGGTTGCTTCCAGTGCAGAACTCACCAATCGAGCACCCCCAAAAGACAGACAATTGTTTTCCTCTATTGGAAATTTATTGTTATAACATAACAGGCAACATGGGCTATCTGAATCATTCAAGAACAAATTGTTACAAAAACAATTAAAATAACCTACTAAATAAAACTTGTATATTTGACCTTACTGCTAAGTATTGATCCAACGTTCCAATAGTAAACAAAATAGAACTTAGAACTAAGAACAATTTAGAAAAATCATAAATGAGCTCGCCTTTATAAGAAGTAAGGTTTTAAAAAATATTTGAAGGAATGATTAAAAATAAATAATAAATATAGGAGTTATAGTTCAACATCTGCTCCTTCCGGTACTGATTGTAATAGTGGATTACTATTACGTTCTCTGTCTAAATATCGGTAGGTATCAGAGTCACGTAAACCCCCACTATAAGGTTTAAACGTATTCTGAGACTCAGTACTAGATCTTAAAGTGGATAAATCTAACGGTGGAATCTCGTTGGGTCTTTTTCTCATTTGTATAGGTGTTAGAGGTAGAGATTGAAAACCATTGGAATAATCTAAAGAACCATCACGATTCAATTTTGCCGACTCATTCAAGGTAAACATTGTAGTTGTATTAAGTTCATTATTACTATCATCATCACTGAGTTGACGTGTGTTTTGTTTTTTCTTCTTCTTTTTCTTGGATTTCCTAACATTGTTATTGTTTGGTGATTGGTTATATTGACTTGCAGGAGAATTGGAATAACCTCCTGTCATATAGGCACCACTATCATAGGACTGTCTATCTATAGATTTATTGTGGTTGATTTCTTCTAAGGATTCAGCAGTATCTGAGTTGTTGTCAGTGGGTCTAGTCTTTGGTATAGGTAATGTTCTGTGATGAGAGGAATGTACTTTATGATTTGGTGATTCTGTATAGACAGGAGTTTTATATAGCCCTTTATTACCTACAAAAATAAAGTGTGTTTCCAGCTGACCTTTTTGACAAAAATATATAACAATCTACTGCTTCTTTTCATCCATTTTTATAAGCATTTGGAACTATTTTATATGATGATGTATATTTTGCCTTTCAGGTTTGTTTTTCTATTTATAATTGATGCACTAAATGCCGCAATTTAACTGATAGATAAAATTGAAAACCATTATCTTCAAGACTAATATCATTAGTTTAAATTTGTCCTCTCTAAGAATCATCATCACAAAATCAAATATCCTGGATTTTTATGAACTACATTCAAATTACTTCAAGGAAATATAAACTAAGGATATAAAAATATGGTATCATACCAATAGTAGCAATATCATGATCATCTAATTCTGGTAATGATTTTCTTTTTCTTCTTTTTAATTTCTTAATTTTTGTTCTCTCTTCTTCTTCCGAATGCCTATTCTAAAAACAAAATATGTTATATGTTAAATTCTTGACCATAATCATCCACCGAGGGGAAAAACATGCTTTCAAATATAAAGTACACATACAACCAGATACCAAAATATTCAGGATTATTCTGTATTCGTTGTACAAAATATACTTTGTTTTAGCAGTGGGAATCTTACCTACTCGGAAGGAAGCAAGGTTCCATCCTACAAATACCATATATTATAACATATTATAAAGAGTATATTTACCATATTTCTATTAAAATGTTTAATAGGACTAGTTGATGGTGGAGGTGTTTCATTCTCTTCTAATCTCTCTCTTTTCTCTAAAGCTCTACTATATTCTCGTAAATGATTTCTTTCTCTACATATATTGAACATCAGTTTAATTGCTAATATCATATGACTGCCCTTAACAGCGACGGGTTAATGTGACGCAAACAATAGGTGCATTCCGAGGCATTCCACCTATCACATGGAAAGGGCAGCCACATGATTGGTTAATACAGAGGTCAAGCAAGGAAGTTAGGTCTTTTTCTAATTAGACTTCTATCATGTCTTTCATGTCTATGATATTTGATAAATTATAGCTATCAATGAGATGTAAAGGTATCTCCTGGTTTTGGTTGGCCGCATTACTTCAATGTCAAAGTTCACAATTATTAAAGAATCAAATTTAACGAAAGACATGCAGCAACAAAAGGGGCCAAGAAGCCGCACTACTGGTAAGTTCTGCACATTTAGACATTCACTAAAACAAGTTGAAAGTTCAGAATGTCTTTCACCTGTGCCAGAAATAGTAGGTGCAGAAAGAATTCAAAATGGCAGAGAAAGGAAAAGAAGTTGAAATTATGAATGTGACATAATCTGGTTCTGTACAGTTTGATTGAGGCCAAAATTGGAACAAACGGAACCTGTTCATATCTCACCAATCAAGCGCCACCGAAGAAGTCTAATTTTTTACATACCTATTCACACGTCCATCCACCATATCAGTTTCTCCTTTAGTTCGTGTTACTGTAGGAGTTATTCTATTTCCCTAAACAGATAAAAAATAAATAATCTGAAAATACCATATTTAATCCAAGGAAATTTCCACATTTAATCTAAATACTGTTAATCATTCCTCCCATACTTGACATGATTAAACTTCCAGAAATAAGATTGAAAGTCAATAATTACCTTGGATCTAAAACTATTTTTAGGTGGAGAATAATTTGTTTCTTCTGAATTCCTCACACCTTCTCGTTCTCTCATTTTAACAATATAATCAAATGTACTCATTCCTTTACACACTGTAACAAAAAACGTTTAACTTTTAAAAAGCTACAACTGTTACAACACAAAGTGGCAGTGGACTAGCTAGTGCGATAACAAGCAATTAAGTACCTTGAGTTAGAAACCTCACCAAGGTTAGGAAAATTCTGATGCCAGTCAGTGCCTCTGAATGTCTGCCTAGTGTCAACTTCTACAGTATTAATCAACATTGGCATTGAGAATAGAAATACTTTAGCTGGTTTAGGGCACTCAATTTGTCTGACAACCATAAAATCAAAATATATTCCAAGACAAAAGGAACACATACTTACTCAAATAAACATGAAAACTAAAAAGATGAACTAATAAAATCAATGCTAACAAAGCTAAAATACCAGTTATAGCAACAATTGTTAACCATATATCATCTAATACAGGTTGATGTATCGCTTTAAATACTGAAACCAAACCATTATAGGATCATACACCAAACATTCATAGCACTATAAGCCAAATTGGAATTTAGGAATTGAAGAGAAAATAACTAGACACAGCTATATGGATTACAATTAATTCACTATATTTGTGTCATTTTGACCGTCTTCATTAGCCCACAAGGTGCAGAAAAGTAGGACGTAAAACTCCATTCATTTCATTTCATTTGTGTGATTTTGATAATGATATTCTCATCTTTATCAAACAATAGCGCTACTTCTCTCTTGTAAAATAACAATGCTTTTATTGGTGGGGGCACGCTCTCTTGTCAAAAGTTTTGGTGATCAGATCTAGTTTGATTTTATAAATCCTGTCGGCAATGCAATAATCTGGTCGTGGAAGGTTGGGCACAAGTGACAATTTACTCAAGATTTGAGTCAGCGACAAAATTTTGCAACCAAGAGTATTCATGAGCCCACACCCTACAAGTAATTTAGTTAAAAAATAAAAACTGATCATACCTGCTGCAGATTGACTAATGTTCGATGATTTGGAGATTATTTCTGAAAAAAAAATGTGATGTTCAATGATAATAACCATGCACGTGCCATTTTGGCTCCTGAAACATGTGTCATTTAAACAATGTTGCAATATGATTAAAGAAATAGGTTGAAAAAGCCTAATGTACTATTCTACCACAGGCTCGATTTAATCAGCTTACATCCAGGTTAGTTAGCTAATTGGAATTGGAATTCGACCAGCCTGTATACATACACCAAAACACCCGGATAACTATAACAAAATATAAATATTACCATTGTAAGGCTCCAGCATATCTCCTGTATCTTTATCAATAAAATAACCAATAAAATCAACTAATGCTACACATACTATCATTATAGTTCCTATTAAACCACTGACTAATGTACATAAAAACCATCTGCAAAAAAATAACATTAACATTCACCAATAATTTCAACTACAAGTTTTAATGATCAAAGATTAAGTCATTTGCTGCAATAAAAATGCATCAACAGTGATATTTACTTGTCACCCAATTTGAAGTATATTGCTCTGCTCACTTCGGTCTAAAACATTACCAAAATTACTTTCCATTACATTACAATGACATAAAAATATTTATTGTGTTTATTACCGAAAGAATATTCACTTCAAATCCCTGCAGAATAAGTTAACTAACCTATAGTTTCGACTTCCTACACAATTATTTAACCATTTACAATGATGATCAAAACCTCCAATACATTTATTACATCCACTGCAATGTTTGGACTTCGGGCCCCTTAAATGAAACACACATAAAATTTCATTTTTTGTTACAAAGACAATTGTGTATTTTAAAAACTTTGCACAAAGCTACAAGAAATGCATTTATAATGAATAAAAAATGACTATTGACAAAGTTCATTTTAATTATGTTTTCTGCCATGCACAAAGCTAATTGAAGGCAGCTTCTATAAATAAAAGCTTTGTGAAATTCATCGTAACCTTGAGAAAATCTTACTTTCAAGGTCGTTACAGTATAACTTGCTAATCTTGGGTTGTCATATGAAAAGGTTATTTTGGTCACAATGACATTAATGATACATATAGGTTTCAAAAGAATTTGTTTTACCAGTGAAAAGTGAGATACCCTAACGACTTACACATGTACTTCACATAAATAACAGTACTGGTTCTCTATCACATGGGGATGTTTCTTTCTATCAAACTTTCCTGTAGGTCCATCAGTTATCTTCTTTAATACAGCAGGATCTGCTGGATTGATGGTTGCTGCTACAAAATGGCTGATTATATGTACTGCACAGCCTAAAGCATTGATCTTTGTATTGTTAAAGAAATGTTGAAAATGAAACATGCAAATTAGTCTCAGTGTGTGGTCCCTAAGAATATCATAAGAAATGGAGATAATTCACACACGGATTTGAAACTTAAATTTCAGCGCAAATTTTTGGTTTTTGAGCAGTTAACACTCTTACTGATAAGCATGTACCTAAACAATTCCAGTTTTTGAGCATCTGAAGTGTGATTGATAAAACGAATGCCGGATGTCCCTTTAAAGAAAATTTTATTTAAAAGGATACGATATATGCTGCTGGTTGCCATTCTGATATTAAGGCTGGAACTAATGTTGTAAAATATATCAGTATAAAATATAAAACCACAATCCAGGCTACGAATTGTAGAGGATGTGGAGGTAAAGACCAGCCATTTTTCCTGCTGTTTTCATGATAGACATGAACTTCTGGAGCCATATCTGTAAAGAAAGAGAACAAGGGTTACTCACTGGTTAGTTCTGATTATGTGTCACTAAGTTGGGATCATTAAGTGAGTGAAAAGGTCAGATTAACATGACATATTTACTTGTTGACAAGCTACCAAAATGTAAATCAAATTTTTAATTGATTTAGCATGTTAGACTATAGAATTAAGATTTAATTACACTCATCAAATTAAAGGATTATATAGTTTTAGCATTCAACTACTTTAGTGATTAAATCAATCAAATCCATTATTAGGTTAAATATTATAACCAGAACAAAATGCTCAAATCTACATGAAACTACTAAATCACAGCTTATCTTTATGCACATTAAAATTTGATTTAGTTAGTTATTTAGAACCATAGTCAAGTGAACATAACAACATAACATTGCTTTTATCAATAATCACCTAAAAGAAGTTGAAATTGATATTTTCAGGCTTATAAACTTATTTATTTTACAGTTTTCTGTCAAGTTCTATTGTTGAGTCTTCTTAGTTTTAACCCTTATCCAAAGAAGCAAACTTTATGAATTCACAAAAATGAAGTGAATGGCATTTTCAAAACATTCTACAATTCTGCAACTAAAGGGCCAATGATTATGAAGACATGCAATTGCACGCAGAGAGTGCAGTAAGTGCCAAGACAGTGGCATATGCCTACTTTTTTTGATTTCCAACTGATCTTTAACTTTAATGTGCACACAGGGCTTTAGTCTATTGCCCCATTCAACAACTAGACCTTATTCCATGTCAGTCCCTCTGACCTGAAGTCTGAAGGCTGAAGCACTGATTAGTGATAGCCTAGAAGAGGGTTAACTAAACAGTTCAGTTTGAAAAATCTGATGGTTAAGGAACTGCAGAAATAATGATTCATGTAGAAAAGGCCTATCAATAATGTTGACTTATAAAACATTATTCTAAGTTAAGATTTATTGTCGCGGAATGCCGTTGACAGACACTGTCGCCGTCGGTGTCAACTGTCAATCATTCCAAAAACAAAAAATATCCAGACTTTCTTTTCCAAATTTACAAAGTAATAGTATTTAAATTCATACTTCATAAGCTCCTTTAGCCGGCCTGTGTTTGTAGGGAATATTCCATAGCTTCACAAATTAATCAATACTTTCCCAGGGATACACTATTTGTAATTGTCATCATAAATAATGTTCAGTCTTCTTTTTCAGCCATCTTGAATCTAAGGTAATTTCATAACCGCATAACATATTTTGATTATATAAAAAGTAGTTCCCCATTTTGTTTTGAAAATGAATGGATGATGATTATATACTTTCTTTTTCGGCATTGTTATCTGATTGGAATAAATATTCATTAATTCTTTTAATAAAAGGCACAATATAATGTTGTATGTGCTCAGAAAGATAAATAAAAATTTTACTGTGGAGGAATTTCAAAGGCATGTTTATCCAGACACTAGATGTACCTTGAGACAAAACGACCTTTGGACATCTCATAACGATACTTCGACCAGATAAATCGAAATAAATATTTTAGGGCGTCTTTGAAATATTCTTCATCAATATACCCCAGTTGAACTTCAGACTTTAGTGGTCTCTTTGCTTCCAATACAGTCTACCCATAGCGCAGACTAATGCCAAAGGATAGGCTAAAAGATATCTTCACTATGTCAAGCTATTACGAACTTCGTCTACTAACATGGCTATCCTATTGTCATTGTTTGTAAACTTTTTGTTTTAAAAATTGCGTTTTCTGCAATTGTGAGGAACTATTGCCGTTTAGTCTAGAAATAGCTGAATTCCCCCTCCTTGTGTCGTCCTCACTCATGACCATCATTCTCTTCTATCTCCAACATTACCTTCTACCCGCACTGCATGCTATAATATAACATAAGTTTACTTTTTCTTCTTTCCCACACTCTCGGCCTTTCCCTTTTCCTCTCTCTATTTCTCAAATCTATGTCTAATACTTCCTTTCTGTTTATTTCCTATTTCTTGTAGCTACGCCCAAGTCGACTAAATTCAATGATTCATCATATTTTTCGTTTATCTGTCATGAGTACGACCTTGAAAATTCAAGGATTATATGCCTATGCGTATAGGGAAATTATAATGAAAAGCATTTTTTAGCTGTAAAGGAAGAATTAAACGGTTGCACCCGCTATCTACTATATATATATTAAATACCCAGGCATGCTATAAAATCTTGTGCCAAATGAGATGTTAGCAAAAAAAAAACATATGATGAAGTTAAACTTTATTTATCAATTACAAAATTCTTTCTGGTTGTATTTCAGTTGGGGATCCTGGGTCACCCTCTAGAATATCTTGTTCTTTCATACATGTTATAAATTCTGAAAATATATAACGATTTAGATGATTCAGTATTTTGACGATGTGTGCTTTTGAATACAAATGCAATGCAAAAAAATACAGCCATTCTATCAATCATTTGGTCCTATCTTTGTCCTTATTCAATAATTGACAAAGCCAAAATATTGCAACTTGAAGCGAGTTGCAACATATTTGCTTTGTCAATTATTGAATAATCAATCCCGCCCCGCTTTACCAAACATTTTACGAGCGATTCGGCGTAAGTATTTTATCTACTCTTAAAATACGAAAAACAATAATCGTAAATTTTTTGGAGGAACGGGTGCTACGGCTTCCTGATACTATGTTTTACTCAACATATGATCGCAGTGTTGATGCGACCGTTTCATAAAAGGTTGTGTCAATCTCGATTGTCCATCCATCAATATAAGCTTATACAATGCAGATGAACATAATACGATTGCACTGAAATCAACATTTTCTTTTCCAGAACACAATAGATTTTAGACCGATCTTATACCCCTGCACGATGGCGTTCATAATCATAATTGACATTACCTTCAAAATCTATTCTACCATCCCCATCTATATCAACCTCCGCTATCATCTCATCAACTGTAAGAAAAAAATATCATCATCTTGTAAAAACTATAGTTCGAGGATCTGGAATTTTTGTTTTTTTGTCTTTCCAGACATTTTTATGAGCAAACAAACTAGAAAAGAACGCGACAATTGTAGATGAAAATATCACATATTATCATTCTCTACAGTATAATCTGAAACATTGTTAATGCAATTTTCTCATCTGGAATGACATTAGCATTAAGTCTGGAGAGAAAGCTATTCTTCTGAAGACCAATTACAATATTTCCAGGTTAACGTTAAGGGAATTGAAAAATAAAATTTCTTTTCTTTTTCTTTTCACTGAGGAAAACTACACTTCTATTTAAATTATCGCCAATTCCAGTCTGCGGTTCCTGTAATTTCATAGAAGCTTGATTAGATTATGATGTCAATGCACAATGTGTATTGTACAATTTTTGGCTTGAATTTTTTTTGTTACTGTGATAATCTGGCATTTCTTTTCTATATTACAGGAACCAAACTCACCAGATAGTAATTAGAATGTTGTAAAGCCAAGATATCAGTGTCCCCCAATGAGATGAAGCCGATGTCTGACAGTCTGGTTACAACATGTTGTCCATCTTCACAATGTCAAGCTATTATGACTTTCAGCTTATGATTTGACTCCAACAGACACCTTTCTCGTATCCCGGAATGCAGCGATTTGACTGGTTGTACGTCAGCCAATACAGCCAATCAGTGCCCTCGACAGAAGGATTATTAAACTTATGGCTTTACAGACTTTTGTCGAGACCTCTCATTGGCTGTATTTGCTAGCGTACAATTCAATAAAATCACAGCATTTGCAAACTTCAATGGTACAAGGCCGATATTGGAGTCAAGGTATAAACTGAAGGTCGTAATAGTTTGACATTGTGAAGAAGCATGTATGCATACTTATTTCTACCCTCCCAAACGCTAGTCGTATACTAACTTTCTTCCTCTGTTAGATCTTCTCCCATACATTGTAAAACACATCTTAGATCAGACGGAGTGATATAGCCACATCCAGATTTATCAAAAACCTGAAAATAAGAAAACTTTATAATTCAAACTACAAAATAATATGCTGTTCACTGAGCTTATAAATATATATAACAATAATTTCCGAAGCTGTAAGATTCTTGAGAAATAAGTTTACAACAAGCATACAGGCACTTGAAAATGTTACTGTTAGATGCAACGCAAAAGAAATGAAAAGGGCCAGAACGTAAAACTCCATCTAATTCAATTTTGTTTTGGGTGGGGTGGGGGGGGGGGGGGGGGGGATT